TGATGACAAGACTATTACACAAAGAAAACATTTGATTTATTGATCTATATGTAGCTACTCCCAGAGACGTATTTGGCACAGTGTTATAAGCTTGCATGTAAATCCATTGCTGTAAACACATCCTGACACATATATTCACACTGGCATTTCTGTACGAGTGCTACAATTATCCCCATATATCTGTAGGATCATGTCCCCAGTTTTGTGAGCATTACAAGATAATAATAATTTATGAATACACCTTACACATCACCAATGTTCTCTGATATCCAAGCATACACATTACTCTTGTTTAAGCAAACCAAGAGGAACAGTATCTTCTGCATTTGTTCACAACAAGAACAATGGCATTTTTCTAAAGTTTATTTGAAATAGCTTTGACAATTTAAAAAAATAAAATAAAAATCCTAGCATATCTGTTAATAAGCTAGCTGTCTAAAAATGAGATCTATATGACCAAAAACCATTTTGGGCAAAACATATATACATACTGCATGTGATACATAAAACAGCACACAGCAGAAGAAGTAATAAAAATGTGTGCAGAAATGATCACTTTTTTTTTTTTTTTTTTTTTTAACTTCTGTTACAAAAGGTGCAGAACTTAGTCCTGCAGCTGATGACGTTTCTGATTCCCTCAGGGACTAATTTCCTCAAGTTTCCCCTATGTCTATATACAGCACAAAAAAGGCTGATGCAAACATTTTTGTACTGTTTAGTTTTAATCCATGTAAACGTGTGGTGTACTCTTGAAATACTCTTTAAAAATCTTGAAGGGGAAACAAGTAGGAAAAAAAAAGGGAAGAAAAAGGCCCTTCAAAAAACAGGAATAATCCTAAAGTTGACAGGAAATCAAATCATGAGTTAAACATTAATTTTGGCATCAAATGCTTTGGTCACACAATACTGACTCTGTGATCCTGGATGCTTAGCTCTAAACACCCAGTTATGAAAGGTAGGCGTGTTGTAGTTTTTTCCATTTAAGTCCCGACAAACAGTTCACTATATCCCCAGACAAAAAGGAAGGAGAGAGAGAGAGAGAGGTGGCTTTTTTTTTTTTCTTTCCTTTTTCAATAATATGTATTAATCTATAAGTCTACAGGAGCAAGAGGACCCTGGGAGGCGTCAGCTCACCCCTTGTGCGTACATGTTCTGCAACACAGTTGCTGAAGCACTTTCCGCTGGCAGAGATTGTTCTTTTTCACCAGCATACAGAATCCGCCCTCGGCCCAAGACTCTTCCGTGGCTTCCGGAGGGGGGGGGGTGGGAAGAGAAGGAGGGGAAGTTGCAGGTTTGGAGAGCATGGTGTGGGCAATGGAGGAAGGTTTAATTGGTCAGACAGGCAGATTTGGTTGAAGAGACCATTCAGGAGCAGGTAGCAAGGAGGAAATTTGGTCCATCAAAAGGAATTTCAGTCAACAGCATTTTTTTTTGTTTCAGGAAGAGGTATTGTGTGGTCCGACAGGGAATGATTGGTATCCATTTGTGAAAGGGAAAAAAAGATTAGAAAGAGAATAATTAGAAAACAGTGATATTTACAGCAAAGGATTTTTTTTTCTCAGTATTTATGAATCAACAGGATAAAACAGTCAAATCACAGAAAAAGAATAAAACATTCTCAACAGAAATGCATACTCTACAGAACAGGTTACACAGTGCTCCATTTACAAGCAGTGAAATGACACCCTCTGCACCTGGTAACTTATACAAGAAAAGGCCTATTTTCCTTCGCTACCCTGTGCTGTGGAGAGCACGTGCCACAGGGTGGGTTCCTTCCCGTGGCAACTGGGAAGGCAACAGGGAAACAGCAATGAGATGGGGAGCTCTCAGCCTTGCAGCTAGGCATGGATCCAAGGTGAGGACCCAGGCTCATGAGTGGTGCTGCTGCGTGGCACAACTTACGTACAAGCTTTCTGCCTTGGAAATACTAATAAAAATGTTCAGTTCACAGGGCCTCCTCAGAGATCTCAGCTCTGCTCAAGATTACGTAGTTTTGTAAGACACCAGTGAACCCCATTTCTCTGCATTTGCTGCTTTGTGGTTGAATTCAAGTCCATCAACAGTATGCACACTGGAGAAAGCAGAGAGCTTTGGGTTGAGTGTGGAAAAAACCTCATTACCTTAATATTTCAAGATAAAGGTGGGAATTTCAGGCACGTTAAATTCCTTTGCCTGAGCTCTTTCTGCTCTCCTGCTATTTCTGTTCTGCTTCTACATAAATGAAGGAAGTAACTTCAACCCTTGGTTATATTTCTTCTTCTGTAGACCCTTTTGGGTTGCATGTGTGCAGATGAGGATGAATTTATCCTAGCATATTGAAGATCAAACCAATATATTGGAAGTTTGCATTGCAGCACTGAACTGCAGTGTAATAATGGGACTGTGGCTACCCAAGGCTTGTTATAGCAAACTTCCTTTTCACTTGTCTGTGTATGCCTGACCTGCTTCACACTAGTTAAACATGACAATGTGTTTTTTTTCCTAAAATCCTGATATGAAAAGGTCTCACGATCTGTTTACTTTTCATACTGCAGTGTGATTTGAAACTGGATAACATAGTTTTCTAAGTTAGAAGGCCTAAAATCCTATAGGAATGGTAAAAGATCCACAGAAACAAGACTTCACCCTGCTACTTAAAAAAAAAAATCTCTGATAAAACTCCTACTGAATCCCACTGGAGTGACCTGGACCCAAAACTCATTATTACCTTTTACCACATTTGATGTTGGCTTTTTTCACACTGTTTTACATCTGGTTTTGTCCTGGTATGATTTTACAGTTGGACTGCAACTGTTGGACTGTAGCAAGATGTAATTCATACTGCAATGTTTCTAGGCAAGCATGCCATTATATATATATGCCATTATATATATATATAAAAAATAGTTATATACATGTGTGTATGTATATATAATAATTACATACATATAACTGTATGTTCTAAGGAATGAATAACGGTGAATAATAAGACAATCTTATGCAGTAAGCATGGTGTCTTGGTTCTCTCAGCAGAAGTTCAAGATTCACCACAGACTGGGTTCTACCTATTCAAAGTTATTTCTGTTCTTCTTGCTAGCCCTTCACATAATTTAAATAGTACTACAGATAACTAAAAGGATTTTAAATATCAGTATTTTCACACTTTAAAGCGGCAAAATAGACAAATATGATTCTATTGGCAGTTCCTTTGACAATACATTAGGATTTTTACTTAAAAAGATTCTTTAGAAAGCAATGGCTTTTGAAGAACAGACACAGAATGAAAATAGATCGCAGGGAGGGACAATTCAGTTAAAGCACATGTGAATAATCCTATTAATGCACATTAAAGTAGTTTTTTTCTTTTTATAAACCTGAGAACACTAAGAAATAATGTAGAGCTAAGATCAAGGTTGTAAGAAAGGAGAAGAAAGAGACTGAGCCAACCCAATACATGTACCAGAAGAAGCTGGTGTTTGCAACACGAATCTTCCCAGAGAGCGGCACTCACCATCCTTGCAGACGGTTCCCACCACGCAGACACCCGAGTCGAGGTTGTAGCCGCTGGGACAGCTTGTGCAGTTCCGCTCCCCGTGGCCGCTGCACTCCACGCAGCTGGCGTCACATCTGGAACACAGAGCCACACGTTGGCCACGCGGGCCGCTCGCACAACGCGGGCCGGCCCGGGGCACCGCCTGGCCACCGCAAAGGGCCTGCGTGCCGTTTGCAGCTCTATCAATCAGCTGCTTTAATTTAACAAAAAAACACAAAACCCCCAAGTTTCCCACTATAAACCCAATCCCGTTCCTTCCCTCTACATCAATCTTCATTCATATATATACATATTTTTAATTAATTTGCTGTATTATTCTCACATTTTGGAAAAATGCAGATGTAACCAGAAAAGATGTGAAACACATTGTGTACTCATGCACTACGAAGGGACAGTCTCAAAACCACAGGGTAGAAAGGACCAGCCTGCAGCCCTGTCCTTTCATCACCCTTCAAGCTACATCAAATTTTTGTGCAATGATTGTTCTTTTTTTTTATTATTGAAAACTATAACACATGGTGATTTCCTTCTTGCCCTGTGCAAGTCAGTAACAAATGATTCCAAAGGACTTGTGGTATTTGTTTAACAAAGAATGGAAGAGAAAAAACGGCCCTTTTTTGCACAGCACAACCCTGCCCAAGACTTATCCACCTATTTGTATACTGAGTCAGATGAGCTATTTTGGACAGCCATCTGATATTATATTTGTGCCACGTCTGTTCCGTGCAGCTGAAGAGCTGGAATGGTCCTTACAAATAGCAATTGACTTGTTATTAAAAATCATAGTTTGACATTTTTAGTTTGATGAGATTCCTTGGCTATATCTGTAACTTCCACATTTATTTGCATATTTGCTCAGATTCTCACTACAGGCTTTCAAAAGTGAAGGGGGCATATATAATTGCAAAAAAAAATACTTTAAAAAGATCTGCCTGAATATAACTCATATTAAAGTAAGAAACTCTTTTCCTTTATTTGCTTAGCATGCAGTATATTTCTCCTATTTTTTTTTTAAGTCAGAAGAGGTTTTATGATCAGGTAATTGCTACTTATCTTTTCCTACACAATAATAACTAACAAACAGGCTGACAAACATTAGACACATACATTAGCCAAAGAAGAACCTTCCTACCTTTTGCAGGTTTTATAACCACTTTCAGTAGAGTGATCAAGGTAATAACCACTACTACAGGATTGCACACATCTTCCGTCTTCCATAAAATAGCCCTGTGTGCAGTTTATACAAGAGTCTACTCCAGCACCTTAAATGCAATAAAGTACACTGTATTAGTGGCCAGTTCCCACCATCGCCTAACCCTAGCAAAACTTTATCAGATTTTACTTGTCTGTCTTCCTTTCTGCTGCTGCACATTGCAGACAGTAACATCAAAGAATAAAGATATAAGGCTAGAATTATATTACATTACATAATTTCAGTATATCTTTTTCCAAAAAAAATGGATATTGGCAACTGTAAAGCTGCCAAAAAATCTATCAATCATTCCTTCCTTTCCAGAAAGACAATGGAGGCATAATTAGAAATCAGAATGAGCTCCATTAAAACTAAAGACTGTTCATGCACTTTCAACTAGAAAACTTAGATTTTCATGTTAACTGAAAGATGTTTGTCAAACTTAAAATGTACTAAAGAGCTACCGAGAGAATTAAGATTTTACAGTAAGTCAGCAGTTATGTTGTACTGGAACTATGCTACAGTAAAATAAAATTGGAGGCAATTACATAGAGGAAACAAAAAGAACCAAATGAGTGTCAATGAAGTACCTGCACAAGTTGCACAGGAACGGTGGCAAGGTTCACAATCACTACCACTATGGTATTTTCCTTCTTCACAGCGGATAGCGCATTTGGATCCATGCAAACTATTGTAAAAAGGAAAAAATCACAGTGTTTGACCCCTGAACAGACAACAGCAGCAGAGAACAACAAGCTCATTCACAAACCACTAAGTCTTTTTTAATAAAAGAACAAAAAAATTATTAATGTGGACCAGCTTCCTTCACTGCTCTGCACTGCTTTATAAATTTAGGGACTGCAATCATTTCCAGTGGGAATGAAATGCAATATTGCCTATGGTGAAGTACAGCAGCCATTTACGGACTCCTAGTAAATACTCCAAGTAGTAAAGGACAGAAAAAAAAATGAACAGTGCCAAAGAGCATTGAAAATTCAGGCATGTAAAACGCAATTGCCCATGAGGAATTTGGCACAGGGACAGCATTACTGCATTAAAAAAAAAATGCCGAGGAACTTGTTAACAAGATCTCATGCTGCTCTTGAAAGACCGGCAGCATCTCCCAATACCACGCCACAGCACAGCCTAGAGATAAACTCATGGCGCAGGAAATCACCACCTCTTCCTGCAATAGCAGTTCGCTTTCCCATCTCCAAACTGAGTACCAGCTCTGCGTAAAGATTCTGCCCGCAGGCACGTTTGAGTGATAGCATAAAACGGCAAGTAACAGAGAAAAAACGAACAGCATAAGGAGCCACATTTCCATGTTTCTCCATAAGTAGATGTTTATGCTTTCATGTTAAAAAGACCCTGCTCTAGGCACCTTATAAGCTAGGACTTCTCTGACATATTTGCCGTCCTCTGTGGAATTTCAGCTTTCATCCAGTTCAGTTGTGTCTCTAAAACTAACCTGCAGTTCTACAGATTGCAACCCAAATAGGGTATTAATCCTGCTATACTGACTGGATCCAGTAAAAATTCTGTGTGTCAGCACCACTGAACATTTTCAAGAGTGCATATGGTCCCAGTACAGAAAAAAATGTTTAAATTAGTAATCCAACAAATGTAGAGAAACCTGCCTGCTTATTTTTTCCCCTCAATCACGCATTCAAAATGCTTTACGAAGCAGATAGCATTATCATCTTTTTATAGACAGGAAAGCTAATAATTTGCCTACATTTACTCAATGGATAAATACCAGAACCAGAAATCAAATCCAGGTCTCCCAAGTTCCACTGAGTGCTCTGCTCATACATGAAGGACAAAAAAAGGGAGCACGTGCTGAATAAGTGGGGAGTATGAAATGGATGTCCTGCAAGGCTCCATTAATTTGTCACACCCACACAGATGGTGCTTGTTCAAGAAGTTACCCAAAGCAGTCTCAGCCTGTTAATATTGTCCAAGAAAACAAGAAATGTGGGGTCTTTTTTTTCTCTTTTATTTCATATTCTCTTCTCACAAACATCAGGCTTGTCTCCTTTCTTCAACACTGCAATCTAGTGTTTGTGTTAACTGACAGGAAAATACACAAATGCATTTTTTGAGTGATAAATAAAATTCTTTCTTACAGACTGTGTCCTGTGAAGTTACATGTTGTAATGTGGGTCTTCCGATATATATTGTCTGTTATGGAAACTTCTAAACAACATTCAGCTTTTGCTGGCTGAAAGATGAAAACTCACCTGACTGAAGGTAAAAGCCCCGTGTTAGGCATTCCCAGAACATGCACATTCTGAAAGAGGAATCCCTTCAGATACCTCGTGTTCTTTGTGGCATAAAACCAGCACACGACCACTTACAAGTCTTATAAAACTTTTGACCTTTGCGACTTGGATCTAAAGGTCATTCATTCACAAGGGAGTTTGAAATGGGTAGTGTTGCTGCATGGACTTTACCTATCGGTTTCAAGAATGATTAAGTTCCTCCACCAAAAAAAAAAATATCCACTGCTGTTTAATATGTGTGCAAACTGTATTGTAATGGAATTGAGCCTGAGGTACCTGAGATAAGTGAATGATTGGATATATGAGGAGACACAATAAAGATAAGAAAATAGTTTCCAACTATCAGAGGAATGAATCAGTAGGATTAATACAATTCACCAGCTCTACTGCTAAAATAATCCTTGACGGATGCACTCTAGGTCGAAAACAGTGAAGAAGCCAGCTTTCCATACGACTGCGGGTTTTATTTTACTTGAAATGAAAGGTCTTCTAAAAACCCATTGTTAGCCAAAAAGGCACATAGTGGCACAAGAAAACACCTGAACAGCAATAAGACACATGAAATGAGGGCTAGTCAAGGTTAAATAGCTATATGACTTTGTACATCCATTGACTCATAAGCCTCTTCCACAACTGTGTTTAGTGACATCCATCATTTTCTTACCTTAGGCCGTGTTTGCATTCTGTGCAGATTTGGAATTCAATACACGTCTTGCAATTTTCACTGCATTTTCGGCAAACCATCTTACCTACAAAGCAAAAAAGCAGAAAAAAAAAAAAAAAAGGAAAGAAAATGGCCCGGAAAAACCTGGTCAGTTACATTTAGTAAAATTATATGGATATACTATTAGATGATTTCTTCCTTTTACAGTGTGACATCAGAAATGCAAACAGAAAGCTAAACTAAAACAGCTAATAGCTAAAATAGCTAAATTCTACTAGAACATGCTTTGACGTTGTTGAAAAGCCTTCATTAATATGCTTAATAATTTATATTATGGACTTAAACAATCTTTTCACATAGCAAGAGTATAGAGTGCTGAATGCAATGTGATCCAGTAAATCTCTTGCCTCCTATACCTTCCAAATAAGCAGCCTGTCCTGCCTTACCTCATCAGGTGTTCAAGAACACACCTGCAAGGATACTTCTGATCTTAACAAGACATAAATTACTTTATATCTGCCTTTTAATCTCAAAAACTCCTTCCTTGGAGGGAGATCACTCTGTCTTCAGACCTTCTACCTTTTGAGGTGCTTTTCTGTGTACCTCTCTGAGAAGACAAAAATGACATTCCTATTTAATCCTAAGGTTTTATCTATCTATCTTGACTGGGCAGAAGGGAATCCCCCACACTGTGCTTTTCAGACAGTGAAAATGGAAAAATAAAAGTAGCAGCTGCATTTACTAATCCTCAAAAATGAACATAAAACTTCCTGGTATAGAAAGCAAAAGGTAAGATATCCAGTTGACAAAAGTTCTTGAGCACATATTTATCTTTTAAGCATGTGCCTAAAGCTAAATGAAGTCAGTGGAGTTTAAGCACATGCTTGAATGCCTGTCTGAGTATTTTTAGTAGTCAAAGTTGGCAATTAAACATGGGCACTCTGCTTAGCAGTCATAGGAGTAAACTGAACCCAGGTGTCACACGGCAGAACATTACGGCTCTGGGGTCATCACAACATCGCAGATACTTAAGTCTGTTAAAAACATAATTACAAACATTTTTTTTTATACCAGAGGGGCCCATCTATCCTTCGTGTATAATACAAGCTCAGTCTCTGTTTAGGATTTATTGGCTATTTCTTCTGTGTGCACAGGGTGGTGGAAGTGCCACGGCATTTGGGTTTGGAGGAAGAAAGGACGCTTTACGTCCAGAATTAGGGTGCTGTTCCCCAGTAGTGACAACCCACACTGTCCTGCAACCAGTTTGTCCTTGCACTGCCCTCATTGTGTTGCTGTTCCTCTCAGCCACAAGCAAAAAAGTCATCCTACTGCAAAGTATGATTTTTAAAAGCTATCTGTGAAAGCAGATTCCTGGATTAATTTTTGAGGAGATTCTTAATCACAGTAAGCATGTAAAAATTAATGAGCAGAGATAAATTCACGAACATATGCATCCCTGGGTTGCAAGTATTCCAGCAGCCTTCCCAGATGAAATTCTGTAGCCTACAGTAAAGAAACAATATGAAATACTAACTCTTATCGAGATAAAACCCATCTGGGCAGCTGGTAATGCAGCTATTGGTGACTTCATTCAGGTAGTAGCCCGATTTACAGGTCATGCACTGGTCACTGTGACCTCCAACACAGGTTTCACAATTCGGAGAGCATTTTTTACAGCGTTTCTTGTCTGCACTGTAGTGGCCAGGCGGGCAATTGGAAACACAGATCCTGCAGGGAGAAAAGGTAGAGTTCTTAATAGAATTACCTGGCACCACATTATTGTACCATGACTGCAAAGCAGAAGTAGTTACCAGCATTGCTGTTTTTCTAATGATCACCAGTTTACTAAAATGTGACCCTCCCAAGCAATGAATCAAACTGCCTCTTGTCTTCTCTTTCTTTCCCAACAGCCTACAGTGGCATAACCTTGTCAGGCAGTCTTGTGGTATCATTTCTAACCATCTACATTTCTCTCTGTCTTTTTCAAACTCAATCACAGAAGCTGTAAGAGCTATCACAGCTATATATATAGCCATCTCATGAAAAATAATCAAGAGAAAGGGAAACAATCAGAGAAGGTGTTCGAAGGCTGTACTTTATAGTCTGATTAGATAGGTTTTTTCTTCCTCCGGAATTTAAGCCATACCCCAGGGAATCCATGAAGTAAAGATTTTCTATTTGGTCTTACCGCGTGTTATTCTTGGATTTGTAGTAGTAGTGTAGGCAGTCAGTACAGTGGTCTGGTCCTGGCCCATCGCACCCTACTTTACTGCATTCTGCATTGCAAGGGCCTATAATAAAACAACAAATCCGGGAGGAATATTAGTACTTCCCTAGTAGGCTGGTAGTTAGTATCTTTCAAAACATAATATTTTAATGTAGAATTCAGTTACCATGTTTACCTACATGGTCTGAAGTCGAATAGTAACTTGGCTCTGCTGTAAAGAGAAGGGCTTAGAAATTTTTTAGCAAGCACTTTGGAAGCTATCAGAAACTATTTCTGGTTCAAGAGAGATTCTTTCCTCATGAATTAGAAAACATTCTGGATTTTATTTGGTAGCTACTTGGGTTATTGAATGAGCGACAAATCTTTTAGGTGATGACCACAACGCACGAGCACCAGCCCCTAGGGTCCTGGCTCTCCTGCCTCTGTGCTGTTCCTTGCTGCAAAAGCCACTGCTTGCTGATTAGCAAATCTTCCATCTCACCAGACCCTCACCTTTACTGTTTTCGGATAGGACTTCTAGCTAAAGAAGGAGCGCTTTGCTGACTCCTGCCTTTATGTACGGGAGCAGGGCATATGGGTGATTTCTCTGGCAAATGAAATGACACTCTGAAATTCCTCCAAACTTTAGGCAAGCTTGTAGTGAAGTGATTTTGTTCATGCAACAAAAGCTGAAGAAGTGAGTGACCTTTACAGCAGAGATGCAAGTTACATGTACTGCAGGTATTATAGCATATATGGAAGCCCAAATAACTATGTGCCTTTAGGTAATCCATACAGCTCTCTACAGCTAGGACCCATTTTTTTACGTTAACCCTCAGCCCTGCTCTTCACGGTACCTACAATAAAGACAAAGGCTCTGAATGCTTCTCCTGCCTCTGTCATTTCCGTTGTTGTATCTTTTTTCTCTTCTTCCTCTCCTAAAGCATGGTGCTGATTGATAACCAAAACCGACACCACAGGAAGACCGCTATCTAGTCCATTAGGCCAAGCCTGCATGCATCTCTTTCTTTGAAATAATTTCTTCTAAAGGTCTTGTCTCCCACTCCTGGACTGTATGACACATCACAGAAGTAAAATAGTAAAGTAAGCTTTATTTGCCACTCCTCTTCAAGTGAGGGTTTTTTGTTTTTTGCCTGTTACTTGAGTTTTTTTTATGATGATGACATCCATTGCAGAGATTAGATAACAGTCTTGGCTTCAGTTCTAAGTGTTTTCTCCATTGCAAGGCTCCTCTAAATATAATGATAATACTCTACAAATCACATTTGATAATAGTTCAGAAGGAGTTCACTAACAAATAATTCATTAACAAAGCTGAAATCAGCTCATTTTTGGTACCCTGCAAAGTCCAAACTCTGTACTTGGACAGATGTGAATGGTGAGACTGAAGAGAGGAATGCCTGGGGTAGAAGAAACCTTGCCAACCTTGTAGGGCTCAGGTGACTGCCTCGAGGCAATCCTTGTCACAGTGGCTTGCAATAAGATTTTGGACAAGCTTTTGGAATGTACATGGACGTCAATGGGAAAATCCTGGCATACTTTTTCTCTACATATTTGTGTCTGAAAAGGGCAAACATATGCCTTTGACTCATGTGAGCCATTGCTGTGGATCTTTATTCATCTTATGGAAAACTGAGTCATTGTTGATTGCATTGGAAAAATGAACGAGCTACAGTGCTTTATAATACCTGCTGGTAATGTCATTTAGTATTGCTAATGGCTTAAATGTGACTGATACCTGAAGTCTCTTAAGCAGTCACTGTACACTATCTGTGTAGCAGGACCAGAAAATATAAACAATCCTCTTGTCTGTTTTCCTGACCCTCTAAGAGTGCTTCATCACCTACCAAAATAAGTAGTTAAGGAATTTTCACTGGGTGTCTGATGTGCTGCAGCAGGAGACGGTAATAACAGAAACTGAAGATTAAACAGTCCTAACCATCTACAGAAAGCTCGTGGCGCTGTTGGGTTACACGTCAGATGCTGCAAACTTGACTCACTCCTCTGCACCAAAAGTCTATTAAAATCTAATGTAAACAATGAAAAACTTTTACAGCGATCAGTGGAAAACAGCATGTATTTATATGACACACACAAACATATACACACACATATATAACAAAAGCAGTGCATTCTTCATAGCATCTTAACTATATGTTAAAAAAAAGACTTTTATGCTTATAAAAAAACAAAAATGCAAATGTAATTTTTAATTAACAAACACATAATTCTGATATTAAGAGAAAAAACCACTTCACTGAACTCCCTCTGCTCCCACCCCCATATGGGAAAATCCCCATGTAATTTTATTTGAATTGACATCCTGTCAGTCACTGTGTTTTAGCCTCAGAGTATTAATTTTCATATGCATAATTACTATAAACCCTGCATAATTAGTACCAGTTCTGCTACAGAAATCCTAACTAATTAAATGAAATGTAAATATTACTTTGTTCTTCTAGTCAGATAAAATTTAACTATAAGTATAGTTTCCATTTCACAAATTTTAGTTATTTATCTGTAATTTTCTTTCTGGAACTTTCAATACCATCTAATTGTTACCCAGACCAGAAAGGCCACAAATCCTACTGTCAGGTCAGAATCATAGTCTGGAACTAACACAAAACCACCAAAAGACCCAAAATGTGGAAAGGGGAATATTGAATAAGCAAGTCGGAGTCTGGATAATGTCTGACCATAGCACTGGCAATACAAAGCCCTATGACGGAAACAGTTTTTATATGCAGAGTTTGAAGTTACTGCTTCAACTTATTATGGGTTCAGTTGATGCACAGAGTAAATGAATGATACTTCACAGCACTCACCTGAATAGTCATCTGTTCCATAATCTTCTGTAGGGTCTTCAACCGGACTAGAGCGCACTCGTTCCACTTTTGGAAAATCATTTCTTGGTGAGTAAGGCTGGATGGATGTTCCATACAGTACTAAGGACCATTCTTTCAATTTGCCTAGAAAGTAAATATTCAAAATCTAGCTTTAAAAATTGATTCCTACTTTCTGTCTCACCGAAAGTTATTATTAGTAAACATGATTTCGCGAGTTCATAGCTACATATTCAGAACTCAGATTTAATAAAGGGGTTATGTTTTAGTTAACACTCAAGAGTATTTTTCATTGGCCTTACAGGATATATCTTGATGAATATACACAAACAATCTTTTAACATTTCCATGGTAGGACACCAATGCCCCCTCCCAAAACAGCATAACTTCTAATTCACTTGTCCTAGTTCTCCGGCAGATATATCACCGTATTGTCTGAGTTTGTCACTATTATTTTATTCTCTCAACACTTGAGTGAGGAAAGAAAAAATCGTCTGCTTGCCTGAATCTTACTTTTTTGGCAAATATTTTGTGGAGGAATGGACAGATAAATGTATATCAAGTCATCAATTCAAGCTATCAGGACAAGAGGTGTGAACTTGCAGCCTCCACCTCCATGTCTTTACTCCCCTGTGAATTAATTCTGTGAAAGAACAAAAGGATTCAGGCCACAAGAAAAGATTAAGGGTAATAATGCATGGAAAATGCATCCCTGCTTGAGAAGGTGGGGAGCAAGTCTTGTCTCATCCTGTTCATTTGAGTCTACTTATCTGTGTTGAAGCAGCAAGTTACAAATGTCAATTTCTCATCAGAAAAGAGAGGGAAGAGGGGAGCTGGGAACATTTCTTTTCTAAATTTGAAAGATCCTATTTTCAGAGGCTTTTCTGTGGTTAAAATACTCTTACCTTGAGGTGCTGATTTAGGAAAAAGCAAGTAATCCAGCTAAGTCTCCCCAAAGGAAAATCATTTAATATACTTCCTTTAAAACTAAATTCAGTGCCACTCAATGACTTGTTGCTTGAGGTTTTTACAACCTGGGCAAGCAAATTACTTTGATCATTATTAAAATCAAGTTATTTTTCTGTATTTTCACAATGTCATCTGGTATCCTCTGAGGACAAAAACAAAACTGAACATTGTCTCTCTGGGTTTACATTTGTCTATCAAACATTAAGCAACAATAATGAAAGCCATGGATTTCACTGAGGAATGACAGTTAACTGACAGATGACAACCTAATTCTTTTAAACTGTTTCACACTGGGGTTTTAAATTGGGGTTAAAGATGGTAATAAAACTGCTATCTCACTGTCTCTGCCTATCCAATTTAATCTTTATTTGATAGAAATTTCTACACTGTACATAAAACTTCTCTGTTCTACACTCAATTTTAAAGAAAAGAGTATAGGGAAGACTCAACATCATAAAACAGTTCTTTTGCACAGTAATTTTCATCTCCTTGTAGCTGAAGCAAAGCCTTACTTTTAAAGAGACTTTCAATCTTGATTTCAAAAAGTAATTGAAGAACCTACCTCAGCCAAACAGCTGACTAATTACCTCAGCTGTCAAACTCTACACACCTTATTTTCTATTTGCCTTTTCCTAGGTCTAGCTTGCAGCCATGTAATTCTTTAGAACCCACTAGATTAAAGAGACTCCAAATCACGTATTTTTTCCTTTTGCAGACACTTAGAGATCAGGTCACTTCTCAATGTTCTTTCGTGAATTCAGCTGGGTTTTGAAGTGATTCAGCTGTGTTCTTAATGACTCTTTCCTTTTAGTAAAATTGTTATATGGGGAAGTCGTGCTTAACTACACAAACATTCATCTCTATTGCCTTTTCAAAGCTACAGTTTCTCTGCATACAATCTCTGCCCCTTTTCTGATTTAACAGACTCCTTGCATTGGCCACAATATGCAATGCAATCAAAAAATATGTGTTTTGCTAAGTTATCCAGACCTTTCCATCCTCATTATTATTTTGCTCTAATGAACACTAAACTTTCCAAGTGTTGATTTTATATTTTTTCCAGAACACTGGTAAAAATATTGAATACTAGAAAGTAATATCTGCAAGGACTCGCTAACAGGCAAAAGTGCTTCTCAAGCACAGTGTACTGGTGTGTCTGGACTACACACACACGGAAGGGCTTGTACCAACATACCTGCAGCAAGGATTTGGGCCTTAGAAGTATATCTAGTGCAGCAGGGCAGTGAGGGGTATAATCTCTCAGGAGATTAGTTTCCTTTTAGGAATGGTTCAGTAAATAGAGAGAAAATCCATGTGACTTGCCAGCAAATAAATGAAGTTTGCCTAAAGGCATGTTTAATTTGCACAATGAAAATATTTCAGTAAATAAGTATATACATACACACACACATTTTTATAATGAAAAAACAAAGTATGCATATTTGAGCCAAAATCATTCTATTCCCATTTTTACCTGATTCCATCATTTCGTTTGGCTAGAATAATCCCTTACCCTGCTTGTATTTAGTACATAACAGGTCCCACATTATATGTATAGGAGACAGGGTATATCACTGTGTTTCACAGCAAGCACATGTCTACCTCCATAAACTGTACAGAATTAAATGCAGAAATCACAGGAACTATTTTTATGAACTGGACCCTATATTTCTTTACGGGTAACAGATGTGGCAATACCTTTCCAAGCTGGGGTATGATGACATGTTGGCTCTTTGTTCTCAATTTGATTATAGGAGAACTGCAGCTCTTAATTATAATGCTTTTCAATAGCTAAAGAAATACGTGCACACACAGAAACAAGAAACAGGCATGATAGTGATATCAGCGTGATAAAGTGCAGACTACAGTGATAAAGTGGAGAGGCATCATAAATCGTATTCAGGCATCTTTAACTTACCTAACATCAGTGTGGAGACCTATCCTAACACGCCCAAGAGGCTGAGTTTGTCCACTGCTAATACAGGGAAGCGCTTTCATATTGTTCTGGACAGAAATGTTATGGTACAGCTTCTGTCATGAGGCAAACACCGGGAGCCTGGAGGCCGAGGCTACCACAAACTACATATTGCATCTTCTGAGATACAAATGCATATCGAAAACTAACAAGTTTTTTAAAAACTGTTTATGCTGAGGTTAAAAGATAGTAATGAACAAGTTTTCCAGCAGGATTCTTTGAGCACAGTAGCTTCCTCCGCCACCCTGGTCAGGCAGATCTTCGTATCTCTTGGTCTTGCCAACGCCTTTTACATGAGTAAAAGCAGAGCAAAGAGCTCCTCAAAGAGCAAAGAAATCAGTTCCACAAGATCAGCCACTGTACGGTGGGAAGAGTATATATGAAGTACTGAAATCAGTAAATCAACAAAACCATAGGGCTACTCATACTTAAACAAATAAACAAAATATTTTGCAGGAACAGGCTTTAAAGCGTAAAGCTGGAAATGTAGCTGGTCTCTTTCAGGCTGTCCTGGTGACATAAAAGGGCTGTAAACCACGTCTGGAGAGTAGCCCAGGTGGACAGCTTCCAAAACGGCTCCGTGTGACCTCCTTTCCAAGCGTTAATACAGGCAGCATGCCAGGGCAGGGAAAAGGGGGGAATGGCCAAAATGTGTTGTGCTCTGGCTATCTTTACTCCTTGTTGGGTGAACCTCTGGGTGCTGGGAAACACAGCAGTGAGAAGCTGCCCCAGCTTGTCCTTCAAGCTAGAGGAGCTCCTGGCTCCTTCCGAAATAACAAGTGTAAGTCAGTTCTGTCTCAAACATTTTCTTTCAATTATCTGATTAAATTTACATTATATAGTTTTTGTGTAGCACCTCTCCTCTACGAAATTCAAAAGCTCTGGAAATTCTCTGGACACACAGAAAAGAAATGTAAAGTTTTGCCCATAGTTAACAGTTGCTCTTCCTGATACATTTAGTGAATGTAAATTAATGACATTTAATGTTTAATTTAATGTCCTGGAAACTGCTCAGTATTAATGGGTACAATTCATATCCTGTCACTAGTGTGAAATGATGGTGAGAAATGATGAGTGTGGATAAAATGAAGTTAAAACTGAAACACTGGCAGTACTCCTATTTTACTTCAGACCTCCAGAGGATGATAATCAAGATTTTCAAAATGTTGTGCTTAATGTTAGACCTCTGAGTACAAAGCTAACATTTAAATAATACTGACCACCCTACAGTTACCACAGACATACATAAACTTTATAAGAAGTTGTTCACTGCTCAGCAGTTTTGAAAGTCATACTGCTTTTTCACATGCTAAGTTGGGACTTATGGGCCTCTTTTTACATGCCAAGCTTCAACAACTTTGTCTTATGACTGCAGGTTTAGTCTGTTAAAAGAGAAGATTCATCAGACTGCAGATGCTGTCAACCAAGACAGGTAACAAGTGCTTTATTCTGGGAAAAAAAAGTATATAGATGTATACATGTACATGTATACACACATATACATATAAATATATGTACACATTTAATAGCAGAGACACTGTCTACTTGGTCACCTATTCTACTAAAATGAATGCAATTCAGCTAGCTAATGAACAGCAGAAATAAAGGACTAGAATTCTCATTCAGGTTAATACCATTGATTTCAACAGCAGTTGGATGAGGCTGACCTATGATTCGGATTTTCAGAACAGAAAATCATCTAAGAAGCATAAAATCATTATTTCCAGATTGTCATAATATTGAAATGAGTGAGCATATTTTTGCCCAAACTAAACTGTATAAAATCATTTGAGTTTAGCCTATATACTGTTTGGAACAGGGAGAAAACAAGTTCACCATACAACCCCGTGATCATACATTAGGGTTCCTAGTGTGCCTTGGCTTTCTCTGAATCACCATGAAAATAGTCCTGCTGCATCTGCAAGCTTTAAGAGGGAATGGGACAAACCTCTCAGAGCTGTTAACTCCTTTCAGAGAGACTTGTTTACCTTGAATAGGTAAACGGCATGTAGCTTTCATTTCAATCTAATTTAACAAATTGAATTTCAATCAAGAGGAAGAAAAAGAAAAGAAAAAGCAGAGAATTCTCCCCTACATGGAGAATATCTCCCCAGCTTCTGGCAGTAATATTTTTGAGCTACTCTTTGACAAAGTTGAATTGAAACAATTAACCTTTTTCTAGAATGAACAGCTACATGCACTTATTCTATTGTGCTACTTTTCTTATTTTAATCATATAGTTTTTAAGCACATTATTTAGCATCCTGGTCAAAAATCCTCTATTTGTGCCTTTTTAAGTACTAAAAACAATAAAATTTCTTATTATTTTCAGCAAGGGTCATTCAAACAGTGACACTCAATAACCTACTCATTCAGGAATACACTTGCTTAAAAATCACCAGTCACCATGCAGTCACCATTCTTATGGTTCTATTTTTCTTTTTGTGTTAAAATCTGTATCTTAAAATGTAAAATTGCTTTTTAACAAATCAATTAGAAAATCCTGTTCCATGAGTTTACTTATCTGAGATGTAATATATCTTGTAGTTTATCGAATTACAATCTAATATTCTAATGACATCGTTAAGACAATCCTAACCATGTTTGATATTAGTTTGACTCTTATACTCTTATAATTCATTTTAGATGTAGCAATTAACTAGATTTACCACTTCTAATGCAACAGGATAGCTTGCAGACATGGTGTCCAATCAAATATATTAACATTAATAATTTAGTATTAATAATAAGTAATTTCCAATACATTAGTAGTATTTAGCTCTTTAACAAACAAAAGAATTAAATCTCTTTATTGTATATTCTGTCTCTGTCTGAAGAATGCACGAGTACAGGATGATCCAGCTCTACATGGCCAAAATCACTTTGTACACGTTGAGGCAGCTTTGAAGGCAAGAAAGGGCACAGTGTATCCCCTGAGAAGGTGACCTCTCCATGAAAACCAGAAGTTAGCTCAGAATTAAGACAAACTACAACTTTTAAATGACAAATAACAGCAACATAAAAATGAGGACTCCACTGATAACCACAATTAAGAGTAACGCATAGCTCTTTATCTGTCTTCCCATCAAACCAACGGGATGTCAGAGGTGTGAGTAAAAGGAGGAGGATAGTTGAATGTTAACAGCCTCAAGCATCCTTTTGAAACACAAGCCAGAGCCATACCTGGAGTCTTGAAATTTCTCAGCTGAGAAGGAGTGTCACAGATTTCCAAGATCCAGTCACCGGCTGCTTTTTCACTCCAGCAGTGAGTAGTCATAAACTCCCAGTTTTTAAATCCTTCCATGGAATGATCAAATAACCTAAAATAAAGCAAGAGATTTGTGTAAGTACTACTTTATTAGTGGAGCTAACCTTCCAAGTGTGCAGGGTTTGATAATACCCTAATCAGCCACTCTATTCATCTCCACCTTTACAAAATATTAATCATGAAGGTTTCCCATCATGTATTTCAAATACATGTTCCATTTTGTTTTTGATGGAGAACATCCTATCCATATTGTCATTTGTCATATTGTGAAAAAGAATACAAAGAGGATTCCCTGTAAATAAAATTGCTAATAGAGTTGAAGGAAAGAACGTGGCTCCAGAAAAATGCACGGACTATAGCATATTCTTTGCTTTAAAAATACAATGTAACTTTAAGTTGGGAAAGTTCTATAACATTTCTTTTTGGTTTTTGGAATGAAGTCCGAAAAAGAGATTTAAGAAAACAAAAGTATTAAGTGTCTGAGACAATAAGAGCAACTCAATAGTTGTGATTCCTCATGAGGAAATCAAATATATCTGGTACTTCAGTTTCAAACCTGAAGTGATCAAGGTATCACACTATTCAAACACTTGACAGGATTGAGTTTGGCTAAAACCGAGAGACTAAGGACATCTGATGATTTCATCTTGCCAGCAACATTACCATAATTTAATTATTTAGGTCTTGGGTGAAGAGGTTGGAGCTCAGGCTCGATTACAGCAGTTTCTAGCATGGGAGGCCCAGCTCAAAGGCTGCAATGTGGTGCTGATGGGCTGGGGGAAGGGGAAGGAGGACTGGCTGGAGATTTTACTGCCTGAAACTGGAATTTATTAATGAGATTCTGGAAAGACACAAGAGAACTTTCACTTTTATTCAGTACTCACAGCGTGTTGCCTGCTACCCCAAAGCTATAGATGGGAGGTGCACTCTAATAGAGACTGCTGCCTCTAATAAAAATGGCATAGCTGAGCTTTAAAAGATATATGTACATATATAAAGATATATATATATAAGTGTGTCTGTGTGCATGTGTATAGTCTTAGATCTCCCTCTCTCTCACAGAAAGACAGAAAGAGAACTACTAAAGAATGAGAAATATCACCATTTTAATTTGTTCTATGTGTGAAAATTCCATAGCTATTTTTTTCATAAATACATGACCGGTACAGTAGAAAATCCAGTGGACTTAAAACACTTCCATAAAATTGTGAGCAAGCTAGTGTAGGAATGCAGAAATACTCTGATCTATCTTTAAAAAATATTTTACACTCACTTGATTCTGTATTATTTTCGAAACACATTTCAAGCTTTTTTCTCAAAAGTTCTTGAAATTCAGTGTGCAATCATTGCAAATGATTTTGGTGACAACCAATGCGTCAGGTTCTACTGAAAATATTCACATAAGACAAAAGGCCATTTTCTTGTCAAAAGATTTGGTCAGTGGCCTGAGCAATGGGTGGCCCTACATATTCACAGTGCACCTCAGTAGGATGCAAAGGATCTTTGGTATCCTTGTAGGATTCAGCTAATACTTATTTTCTCTATTATTTCCTTTGTGGAAATTTCTTCTATTGGATATGAATGTCTATAATGTTACTCTTATTTATTAGTCTTGGTAACATTTACTGAAAATACATTTAAAATAGGCTGCGTTTTCACTGATAATTGGTTGGGCTTTTCTTCTAGTGCAGTTTTGCAGATAGAAGTATGCGAACAGAATCGATCTGTTTCATGTCTCTGTTAAATTAGTTGTTTAAATACAATAAATTTCACACACACACACACACAGCATTTCCTGAAAAACAGATAGATATTATCTAACTAGTTATTACCTAGTTTTTGCATGTGAGTTTTTGCATGTGAGTATGTCATTACACAGGTTATTTCAGTCAAATTGTCACACAGTGTTTTGCTGATAAGCGATGTATTACTTTTTAAACAATCTGTCCGTCAGTCAACACAGTAGTACTTCTTTTTGCCATTATGGCAACCAAATTATATAGTATTACATAAATACCATGCAATTATACTTGAAATTCTATATTCATTGGGCTTGCATTCACATACATAGAAACACCAGTTAACTACATATTTTGACTGGAATTAGTCTGACATTTCCCACAGTATCCTGTGTTTAAATGTGTTTATATGCGATGTTTTGGCATTTTAAAATGCTGTCAGATTTCTATTTTAATCTTGCTTCATTCTTTTAAGTCATTTGGGGAGGAAAATACAATACTCGCTTATGACTTGGCCTTAGATATACAAAAACACCTCTACCTAAAATCACTATGACTTGAAATGTAAGTTTTCAAACTGCCATCATTTATATTGGTAGGGGAAAACTTAGTAATACTATTTCACAGGAAATAGACCAGTTTTGGGAAAGAAAAATTCCCTGAACTTGTGTGGTAAGATATAAATTTGATTTTTTTACTGCATAAACTAAATTTATACAAATGATACCAAAAAGGAGCCCAAAATCCATAGACTCAGATCAAAAAAAGATTTTTCTTTTTTAAGGAAAAAGAACAGTTTTAAGGTGATAAAGATATGGACTCTGATGTTATCTGTATGTGCATGTTGTATGTTGTATCTGTATGTGCATGTTGACCAAGCTCATGTTGCTCTGCTCAAGCACTAAATTCTCAAATCAAAAAGAAGTGTGAAGTGCTGCATATATTTCCTCTTCAAGGAGGACCACATGACCAAAATAGGATCTTTTAAGGAAGACCTGGACACTTCAGGAGCCTTGGTGACAAATAACATCGATTTTGTTATTTGTCAGATCAATGCCAAATGTATATATATACATACTTAATACATATTAGCATACGATCTGATAACTTGTTATTTGACTATTACAGGTTATTATAGATTAGAGTTGTTTAGTGAGATGCCCAGAATAATCTGATAATTTTCATGGCTATGCTTACATTTATCTGCAACACCAGCACTTATAACATGCTTTTAACTACTGGAGTGCCAATGACTGACTCTTCATGAATTATTTGTTAACATAAACACAACAGAAAGACAGATCTGTTATTTAGTCATTCAGGTGACCTTTATCAAAAACATCACCTTGAAGATGGGCTGTGACTAACTCCAGAGAGACTAATTTTGCGCTTACCATAAATAGTAATACATCTAGAAATAACGATTCTTCTCGCTCTGAGCAATTTGATGACATATACTTCACCTGTCATATGCAAGTCTGTAAGAGAATACATATGCTTACAGGGTATAGACTAAAATATTTCCTTAAAATTTTAAGTTCAAGTCGTAAAAATGTCTTCATCTCTTCTATTGTCATTACCTCATCCTAGAAACTATATTCCCTTTCTGTTTAAGAATTTAACTTGAAGCAGAAATATTCATCTGTAATCAAATTTTAGAAGCAGAGGAAGACAAGTATCTGCTTTCAATGGACTCCACAACTGGGAACATAAGGCTGGTCTCTCACAATTAGATCTGCTAGTAATAAAAAAAAAAACACAAGTGTTTTAGATTTTTAGCAAACCTTTGTAAGTCCTTAAATGCACAGAAAAAATATTTTGCATTAACTGGTGAGCAAAAGCGGTTGGTATGGAGCTTCCACTTGGTAAAACCACAGCCAGATATCGCAAAAAAGAAGTGTATCAAAGGCATTTTTTTTTGTTACTCACATCTTTTTTCTTTTTTTTTTTTCCAGAAGGTGCAGCTGAACCTGCCATGCTCTGCGTGTTGAGCTGACCGCACTGGGAGCCAGAAAACGTGACAGCTGCGGGGCTGAGAGCGCCGGAGGCAGCCGGGAAGAGGCACCCATTTGTTGTGTCTCCCAGCCCTTGGTCGTGATGTGCTCTAATAAATCAGTGTCTGACAGGCAGGTAATCTTTGCCTGCTGGGCTAATGGGCTCCGAGGCTTAGAGTGAGATGGAGTTTTGAGCAGAGGAGTGTGTCCTCTTGCGCCATGCACCTGCAAGTACCTGGGTCAGCTGGGCTCCTTGCAGCAGCCCTTCTCTGCAGGGCAATTGCTCCAACCGCCTGTCAGCAG